TTTTTTTTTTTTTTTTTTCGGAATTCAACAGAAGGAAGATGATTGCATTTTTATTTCCCTTGTTTGGTTTGTAAAGAAATGTTGGATAGAGGTTATGGTATGAAAAGAGAATATTAAATTGGGTCTCAAAGATATTTTCCTTGCATGAATTGGAGTCGAATAATCCAAGAGGCTATCAGGAATGAGAAATTAGAAGTGTCAAGTCCACAATTTTAGCTTATGTGGATTTTATTATTTGTCCTTATCACGGATTTGTTTGGTAATGTCTATGCTTTTGTAACAACTCTCTTTCTTTTTGTTAGGATGAACAATATTGTATACAATAAATTTGTTACTTGTTCCACACACGACAACAATGCTGAAAAAATGAACTCAAGCGTAAGAAACTAATGGAAAAAGGAAGTTCTTTTATTGAAATATTTTCAAATAGTTTTAATCAACTTTACTTCTTTATAAAGAAGTTTTGGCATATTTTCCTCTATATTTTAAAATTAATTAATATAAGTAATTTTTTATGGGGTGTGGTTTTTGTAATCATTATAGCTTCATTAACTTTTATATGCAATGTATTAGGCGAAAACTCCGCTAAGTGCATTGCCCCACAACAGACCAAAGTGAAGAATAATCAAAATAATGAGAAATTAAAATAATGGATTATGTTTGTCAAACTCATCAGAGATCTTGACCCAAATTCAATATCGAAAGAAGATCATGTAGCCACTTCTAACAAAAAGCAAAATTGTGTAAATTTTTCTCTTATAAATATTCATATATTAGATATCTTGAACTACCTGTATTATCAAGTCAAAACACTATAAAATTTTGAATTACCATACCAGAATTGATATCAGAAATTTGAACAGTAAGAACTGAAATTCAGGACACTTGCTAGACTGTAACTGAACTGAAGAAACGGGTATGTGCGCTCTTTTTATATTGTGGCTATATTTTTAATATATTGCAAATGTTGATTATGCTTTAAACAACAATCCTAAAAGTGGCTACTGGTGCACTTAACCCAAATTCAACTCACGCTCAGTCTTTGGCCAAGTCAGACGCCACTGTCCCTTGGCTGCAAAACTTTGCTCCTCTCCGCCGCCGAATTGAGTTGTACGCTGTCTCTCTATATATACTTTTTCCTCCTTCTCTTTGTCCTGTGATATTGGGTTAACAATGATTTTCAACTGCAAAAACATGAATTGTGAATTGGATTGAAATTCTCTGTCTATAACTATCAAAACATCAACTCCAATTTTTATAGTTCGTTGTGATTTTTAATAAGAACAAGACCATAAAAGTGGTATATTTATCACTATGTTGTAAGTTTTTAGCTCTTACTTCGATATTTTCTGCTTTAAACTTTTAAATGCAGGGAATAAAAAGTTTCAACTGATGGGTGTAATTGAATTATGCAACACTTCATCTATTTGCATTGGTAGAGCAAAACCCAGTTGTTGTTCAATTGAAAGAAATCAGAGGAGGAGAATCATTTGCATGGCCTCCTCAGTGCCGGTGCAAGAAGAGAGTCAACAGAAACAACGTGTGACCGGGGATGCTTTTATCCGGCCCCATCTTCTTAAATTGTCACCTTATCAGCCGATTTTGCCTTTTGAGGTAAATATGTAGGATTCAATTCTTATATTGTTTGTATATGGTTGATTACATGTTATTTACTCTCTTTATAGGTGAATGAGTATGTTAATTGTGTAGGAGAAAATGCACCAATTATAGTCGACCTTATATTGTGTTGAGTATATATANTTTTCTCCGCGTAAGGCCAAAAAGGGGGGAAGCACTAGGAGTTTCTCCATTCCGAGGGCTTGAAAACGAGACATTTGGTTAAGGGTGGATGGTAGTGTGTTTAGTAAATCGAGTTAAATATTTCAAACCAAAAAGACTCAGAAGACTTGAATTTACTACTGACAATGCTCAGTTCTACAGCTAGGACCTTTTGTTTTCTTGAGATGAATCAGCAGGAACCAATTTGTACTTTCTTTCAGTATGGTGATTACATAAGTTTACCACATTTATAGGTGAAAGAGTTTAAGTTGATTGTATTGTAGGAGAAAATGCACCAATTATAGTTGACCTTGTGTTGTGTTGAGTAAATCAGGTTTGCATAATTCAAACCAAAAAGGCTTCCAAGGCTTGAATTACTTAAATTACTCAATCCTGCAGCTAGTATTTCCTTTGGGGAGGTTTGGGGGGTTGGGGGATTTTGAAACATTGGCTTTCTTGAGGAAGGAGGAGGATACATATTAAAAGGAAACCTAAACTTTTGAAATTTGAAACGATAAAAGCTAAAAAATGTGAAAAACTAGGTTTGTGTGTGGGATTTTTTTTTTTTTTGGGGGGGGGGGGGGGGGG